TCATCCATCTTCTGAAGTCTAATTCCATCATTTCATCACAGTCATTCTCCATCCAGCTTTGTTCCCTTGCTGGTGAGGAGTTTTGGTCCTTTCTAGGAGGTGAGGTGTTCTGGTTTCTGGTGTTTTCCTCCTTTTTGCGCTGGTTTCTTCCCATCTTTGTGGATTTATCCACTTGTCGTCTGCGTAGTTGCTGACTTTTCGATTGGGTCTCTTAGTGGACACCCAGATTGTTGGTGATGAAGTATTTCTGTTACTTGGTTTTCCTTCTACCAGTCTAGCCCCTTCGCTGTACGACTGCTGAGGTCCACTCCAGGCCCTGCTTGTCTGGGGTACACCTATAGCAGCTGCGGAACAGTGAGGGATGCTACCAGTTTCTTTTTCTGCTGTCTTTGTCCCAGGGTGATGCCTGCCAAATGTCAGTCTTTTGGATATAGAGGGGTCAGGGAGCTGCTTGAGGAGACAGTCTGTACTTTATGGGAGCTCAAGTGCTGAGCTGTGAGCTCTGTTGTTCATTCAGGGCTGTTAGGCTGCTATGTTTGATTCTGCTGCAACAGAGCTCATTAAAAAACCCCTTTTTTTTCTCAAATGCTCTGTGTTGGGGGTTTAGGGGTTTTTTTTTTGGATGTCTGTTGAGGTGTCCTGCCTGGCTAGGAGGCAGTCTAATCACTATTTGACTGCCGAGGCTCCGCCCTGCTGTTGTGAGGCTCGCCCTGTGGCTGCAGGCTCTTGCTCTTCTGCTGTGTTCTCCACCACGGGCTACACCCTGCAGCGGAGTCTCTCTGTTGTAGCGGGTTGCCTCGGCAACGGCAGGCTGGGTCAGCAGTGGGCGTGTATCTCAGTAGGGGCGGGTTGCCTCGGCAACTGCAGGCTGTGTCAGCAGTGGGCGTGTGTCTCAGTCAGGGTGGGTTGCCTCGGTAATGGTGGACGTCCCTCCCCCACGGAGCGCCTCAGGGACAGTCTCCACAGCAAGCGTTTGGAATCGCTGTTTTGTCTGTCCCACTGCACTATCTCACACGCTGTGTCCCTGCAATCCCCTGGGCTGGCCCACTGCCCAAGTACCTTTCAGTCTCGAGTTCAGCCCCCTGAAGTCTCAGGTTGCCGTTTCAACAGGGCACCTGGACAAGCGCGCCCTGTGGGGATCGCTGGGTAGGGCCGGCCGCCGCCACCCCGTCTGCCGGCTTCTCCAGGCAGAGCCTCTGCCTGGTGTCCCGCGTCTCCTTTATACTTGGGAATTTCCCCGTTCTGTGGGCAACAAAGATCAGTCTGAAAATGCAGCTTTGACTCACCTCTCCGCGGATTAACCGAGAGCTTAAATCCTGGGTTGTTGTCGCAGCGCCATCTTGAGTTCCTCCCCTGGATAATGTTTTTTATGTTTCTTTTGTAGAGACAGGGTCTCTCTATGTTGCCCAGGCTGGTGTCAAACTCTTAGCCTCAAGCAATCTTCCCGCTTCGGCCTCCCAAGGTGGTGGGATTACAGGCGTGAGCCACTGTGCCTGGCCCCTAAAATGTCTTCAGCTATTCTTTTTTGTTACCTGTTCTGAGTCCCTCTCAAGATCTGTGCATTACATTTACTTGTTAAGGCTTCTAAGCCTATCTAGAACAGTCTCCTTGCCCTTTATTGCTTGTTTGGTTTTTCTTGAAGAGTTCTGGCCATTTGTCTTATAAAAATCCTGCTCACTGAGGAGATATGTGACAATTTGGCATTTCCAGCATTTTTGAGTAGTAAAGCCAAGCTCACTCTAATTTTGATTGTTTGCTTGGTATTTCCAACATTCTGGAATTACTGGGTAAAGTTTTTTTTAATTACATAACTTATATTTTCAAATCACTTCTCAAAAGATTTATATCAGTTTACAGTGATGGTGCACTTGGTTGGATTTCATAGTGTCTGTCTTCCACTTCACCATCTGTCTTTCCCCTCCCCGTGCTGCTGAGACAAAGTTTTGCTCTTGTTGCCCAGGCTGGAGTGCAGTGGCACAGTCTTGGCTCACTGCAAACTCCACCTCTCGTGTTCAAGCAATTCTTCTGCCTTGGCCTCCTGAGTAGCTGGGATCACAGGCGCACACCACCACACCTGGCTAATTTCTGTATTTTTAGTAGAGATTGGGTTTCACCATGTTGGTCAGGCTGGTCTCAAACTCCTGACCTCATGATTTGTCCACTGCAGCCTCCCAAAGTGCTGGGATTATGGGCGTGAGCCACCACACCCGACTAAAGACTTTTATACGTGGGGTGTTGTTGTTGAATAAATTTCAGCCATAGGAACTGTATATTTATCATATGTAATGAAAATCCCAAGAATACCAGAAAATCAGCTGTGTGTTGAGAGTCTTGCATCTTTTGTTTTTCCCCTAATAGTCTCCAGAATATGTAAATTGAAGTTAGAATTAAATGTGTCATAATGTTTGATAAGGGGCTAATATACATTATTTAAAATAATGGAGTTTTAGGAATTTAATAATGCATTCAAATCTAATTGTTCTGCTTCTTGTGGCAGATTCTCTGTTGCAGACTGGAAACAGCAAAGGCTATGCATTTGAGTGTAAGGATGTTGCCAAGATAGTTGCTGAAACAATGAACAACTACCTGTTTGGTGAAAGACTCTTGGAGTGTAAGTGCTCTTGTCTCTGTGATAGTAGGGTTGCCTGGGCACCTGGTGCTGGTGGGTGACTGTGGTGGGAAGGGCGGCTTGCTTAACTGCTTGGACATGCCACTGCATCTGTGGGATGACTCTTACAGAATGGTGATTCTGTAAGGATTTCTGTACGGATTTCAGTGTGTGTCACAGGCAGATTCTAATTGGAATTTTAAAATCTCCCATCATGAGAGCTGTTTTTACCCTAAATAGAACTGGACAAGTTACCTTGGGGACACACAGGAGAAGCAGCTAACCCATGCTTATGGGCTGTGAAAGACTTATCTGGGGATATAGCATTGACATTGAAACCTGAAGACTAAACAGCAGCCAGCCAGGTGAAGGGGACAGAAGTGAAGACAGATCATTCCTGGCTGAGGGACAGTGAATGCCAAACCAGAGGTGCCTGGCCATATGGCTATGAGGGAATGTGAGGAAAAGTAGCAAGAGATGAGGGAGCAGGAAGAGGCTTCAGGTTGGGTTACTGAGGCTTTCTAAGTCAGTGAGTTCAGAATTTATCCTGAGGGAAGTGGGGATAGCAGCAAGGGTCAGAAAGTGCATTGCAGAATCCATGTAAATGGCAATGGCTATAGCTCTTCCACACAAGAGAAGCTAAAAGGCGTAGAGGAGTGACAGCTCCAGATTAGAAATTGATCCTGCAGAAAGGAGCCAGTGCTGCCCCGACCCTGCAGTCCATAGAGTGCAGAGAGCATCCGTCTCCAGATCCTGCTGCCCTTGGGAGGCAGAGCAAAGTTTCTGGCCTCCCTGTGCCCATGGTGGCATGTGGCCATCTTAGGTACCCAAGTTCACAGCTGACAAGGCTACCCAGGTAGCATCTATTCATTTTCCATTGCTGTGAGAGAAGCTGGGATTACAGGTGTGAGCCACTGTACCCAGCCACGTCATGATGATTATGTGAGGAATGGCACTGGGGAGATTGTAAAGTTAACATTAAAATCCCTTTCCTACCACTTGGTTGAAACTTTTTATGTTTTTTTTCTTTTTAAAAACAGGTTGTCTTATGCCACCTAAAAAAGTACATAAAGAACTCTTTAAAGACTGGAATGTTCCATTTAAGCAGCCATCACATCCATCAGTGAAACGGTATAATCGGAATCGGACACTAACACAAAAGCTACGGATGGAGGAGCAATTTAAATAGAAAGAAAGGTTACTCAGGAAGAAATTAGCTAGGAAGGGAATCGATTATGATTTTCCTTCTTTGGTAAATATGTCTTCATGAAATCTTTTTTTGTGATTTGTTGTGGGGAGAGGAGGGGGTGGCTTTGTATCTCGTAAAGTACCTAGCCTAGTGCTTACCACAACCTAGGCTCACTGCAGCCTCTGCATCCTGGGTTCAAGCGATTTGCCTGCCTCTAGCCTCCCAAGTAGCTGGGATTACGGGTGCATACTATCACGCCCAGCTAATTTTTGTATTTTTAGAGATGGGGTTTCTCCATATTGGCCAGGCTGGTCTCAAACTACTGACCTCAGGTGATCTGCCCACCTCAGCCTCCCAAACTCCTGGGATTACAGGTGTGAGCCACCATGCCCAGCCAGTTTTTTGACTGAATTTTTTTTTTTTTGATACAGAGTCTTGTTCTGTTGCCCATTCTGGAGTGCAGTGGCACAATCTTGGCTCACTGCAACTTCCACCACCCAGGTTCAAGCAATTCTCCTGCCTTACCCTCCTGAGTCGCTGAGAATACAGGTGTGCACCACCACACCAGGCTAATTTTTTGTATTTTTAGTAGAAATGGGGTTTCGCCATGTTGGCCAGTCTGGTCTCAAACTCCTGATCTCAGGTGATCATCCACCTCAGCCTCCAAAAGTGCTGGGATTACAGGCGAGAGTCACTGTGCCTGGCCTGACTAAACTTTTGAAACATTGTAGGTTCTTCCTAAAACATGAGAGCAGATTCTGTTATTTCCATTATACAGAAGAGGAAGTGTCCTTTAAGTAGATAATCTGACTGAACCTTAGGCCCTGGTACTCTTGTGAACCCATCTGGGAACTGAGATGGTGAAGCTTGAAAAGAGGCATGCAAGCACTGCTTTCCCTGTGCTTTGCTTGTGACTAAGGGCGATGAGGGTGGCCTGCCTTTGCACATTCTTCCTGCTTCCACCTTCCTGAATTCAGGATTCTGTGAATCAGTGAGCTCCAGATTTGGGTCTTCCCTTCAACCTCTGCAGCTCTGTCCGTTCCTCAGCTGGGCTTCTCCTAGTTTTGCCCTTTACTTGAGATGATTCACTGTATTGAGTTTTGCTTTTTAAATTGAAATGCTCTGTCATTATGGAGGATTTACTGTTAACATATATGAGGATCTAATGCTAAGTTTAAAAAGAAAAGATATGAGACTGTTAATTTATAACTTCTTTATTGAAGATTTTACAGAAAATGGAAAGTATTTCAAAAACTAATCGTCAGAAGTCTACAAAAGGCCAGGTAAAATGTTTTTTATCATATGCCCAATATTAGAGAAAGATAAGTAGGAAAACATTTAAGACTACTATAACTGATCAATATTCAACCTGATGTGTCTTTTAACATTTATTTTAAGGGTTTACACAAGAAGAAGAAAAAGGTGGTCGGCACTCTTGACACTCCTGAGGAGACTGTGGACAGCCAGGTAAGATTGTCTCCCATATTCCGGACACCAGGTTTATACAAAGAATTTGAAGAAAGAAAGGCAGTTTCTGCCATATTAAGATTTCAAATTGAATATTGTCACATTTGGTAGATCTTTATTGTCGATTTAGCAGTTTTCTGCATAATACCTTATAATGGAACGTGCTATGTTCCAATTGTGAATTTCTGTACTAAGTTTGATAAGCATCTCAGTTCTTTATTCTTTACAATAGTATCACGAAAAGATTGAAACAGGACTAAAATAATGTGGTACAACTTGTAAAAATAGAAGAGAGGTGATGTTTCGGGTACAGTGATAATCTTGTTCTACATTTATGTATTATAATCTTTCCTTGTTGAATCTAGGGCCCCACACCAGTTTGTACATCAATATTTTTGGAGAGACGAAAATCTGAAGTGACTGAAACGAATGAAGATGATAAAGATAATGAAATAGTTTTCAAACAGCCCATATCCTGTGTAAAAGAAGAAATACAAAAGACTCAAACACCTGCATGTTCACGGAAGAAAAGGTGAAGAAAAAGCAATCCATGATTTTTAATGTATTATATTTTCTGAAAAATATAGCATTTTTCTGAGGGTGGACTTTGTATTTTACTAGGAACAATGATATGCAACCCTTGACAAGATTGTCAGAGGAAAAATACACTGTTTGGTCAAGTTAAGGAAAGCAGTCTGTAATTTTGGATTGCCTGCCCTTGGCTGAAATACAAGGGTACAGACCGGTTTACAGTGGTTTGGCTGACATTGCCTCTTTGTCCTGTTCTCTATTTTTCTTTTGACATTTCATAGCTCTCCTTCGTTACTCTGCCTGGATAGAAAGGTGACCACTAAGTGCAGGTTTAAGTACTGAACTGCAGCCTTTTCTGTCACCACCAGTTAAAGACCACCCATCTTGTTTGTTCATCTGCATGATTTGTCAGGGACATTAACTCATGAGGGTGCTTTAGATTCCAACATCACATGGTTGAAGCTGGAAGTTAAATTATATGTAGAGTGAGAAGGCAGTTCCAGTGTTAGCACAGATTTATGTATTCAGATTTTAATAGAGATTCAGAAATGATTCATTTTTACAAATCATTTTATATTAGTTTTCATTGGGCTAGCATGGATTAATAACCACTGTTTTATACTAGTATCATCAGTGAGGAATTGTATTTCAAGATTCAAACAATTACCAGCAAATAAACATTTTTTCTACAATTTATTTGTTTGCAAATAGTACTTGGGAGTCATTGGGGAAAAAAATGGTAAATTTTCCTTTTCATTAGCAAATTCAAATTCATTATAAACATTGCCATCAGATGTAGTAGCTCACGCCTATAATCCCAGCACTTTGGGAGGCTGAGGCAGGAGGATTACTTAATGCCAGGGGTTGGAGACCAGCTGGGCAACATGATGAGATCCCCACTCTACAAAGAATTTTAAAAATGAAGCTAGGGACAGTGACTCACGCCTCTAATTCCAGCACTCTGGGAGGCCGGGGCAGGCAGATCACAGGTCAAGAGATTGAGACCATGCTGGCCAACATGGTGAAACCTTGTCTCTACTAAAAATAAGAGATGGACGTGGTGGCGAATACCTGTAATCCCAGCTACTCAGGAGGTTGAGCAGGAGAATCGCTTGAATCTGTGAGGAGGAGGTTACAGTGAGCCAAGATCTCGACACTGCACTCCAGCCTCGGTAGACAAAGTGAGCCTCTGATCTCAAAAAAAAGGAAAGGGCTTAATAAAAAAATAACCCATTTGTGAAAATATACAGCATTTGAAGGCTATTCGTTGTATTAATTACCAGCAGGAGCTTTTCAGAAAACACATGAACTTACCGCATCATAGTCACCAGTGCACTTCATTTGTTCCCATGGACTTGGCCATCATCAGCAGCTCCATGGATTTTTGACAGAAATAGAATACCTTGAGTCACCCTGCCTACCTATCACACAGGAGTTTGATGGCTCAGCAGTGATAAAGATTTACCTAGACATACTGAGTTCAGGGCCAAGGCTTAAAATTTAAGTAAGAACATTCTCTCAGCTATTTCCATCAAATACTAAACAGGTTCAGAAAGTAAATTTTGCTGTAAACTTGCTGTTTCTTCATGAATTTAAGTCAATGAATTCAATTTAGAATTAAAAGCTGAAGCCAGTTACATTCAAAACATACAAGGCTGAAAAGTCACTGTGATAACATTTGAATTGTGAGTTATATCAGCTACTTTATGTACTTCCTGTGCTGTGGAAAGTTAAAAGCTGTGAGATCTGTATTCCCGTACATATATTTACAGCAGTTATATTTTCCAACCTAAAACTGTGGTTCCAACAGTGTATTTAGACCTCAATAAAAGTGCAAAGGAAATTTCCCTTTCTCAAAATCTGTGTAACTGGGCGACTACAAAGCTTCCACCTATTTTTCAACAGAAGATGACTGACAGCAGAGTAATAACATGCTAGCACATGCTGCAACAGAAAGGTAACAGAATTCTGCAAAACATTTTCAAGTGAGGAATATACTCAGTAGAAATCAAACTTGGAACCAGGCGCGGTGGGTCACGCCTATAATCCCAGCACTTTGGGAGGTTGAGGTGGGTGGATCACCTGAGGTCAGGAGTTTGAGACCAGCTTGGCCAACGTGGCAAAACCCCATCTCTACTAAAAATACAAGTAATAGCCAGGCATGGTGGCTGGCACCTGTAATCCCACCTTACTCCAGAGGCTGAGCCAAGAGAATCGCTTGAACGCGGGAGGTGGAGGTTGTAGTGAGTAGAGATTGTGCCACTGCACTCCAGCCTGGGTGACAGAGTGAGACTCCATCTGAAACAAAAAAAAAACAAAAAACCATGCTTTCATGGGGCCCCTGTAATTCCAGCACTTTGGGAGGCCCAGGCAGATGGATCATGAGGTCAAGAGTCAAGATCAGCCTGGCCAAGATGGTGAAACTCCGTCTTTACTTAAAAATGCAAAAATTAGCCAGGCGTGGTGGCAGGCACATCTAATCCCAGCTACTCAGGAGGCTGAGGCAGAGAATTGTTTGAACCCAGGAGGTGAAGGTTGCGGTGAGGCAAGATCGCACCACTGCACTCCAGCCTGAGAGCATGAGCGATAGAGTGAATCTCCATCTCCAAAAATAAATATAAAACACAGGTGGGCACAGTGGCTCATGCCTGTAATCCCAGCACTTTGGGGAGTGAAGCAGGCGGATCACTTAAGATCAGGAATTCAAGATCAGCCTGACCAATATGGTGAAACCCCGCCTCTATGTAAAAAATTAATTAATTAATTAAATACAAAAATTAGCTGGGCATGGTGGCATACACCTATAGTCCCAGCTACTTGGGAGGCTGAGGCACAAGAATCACTTGAACTCAGGAGGTGGTTGCAGTGAACCAAGATGGTGCCATTGCACTCTGGCCTGGGTGACAGAGTGAGACTCTCAAAAAAAGTAAGAAGTCATACTTGGCCAGGGGTAGTGGCTTATACCTATAATCCTGGCACTTTGGGAGGCCAAGGCAGGTGGATCACCTGAGATCAGGAGTTCAAGACCAGCCTGTCCACCTCGTCTCTACTAAAAATACAAAAATTAGCCTGGCGTGGTGGTAGGCGCCTATAATCCCAGCTACTCAGGAGGCTGAGGCCAGAGAATCGCTTGAACCTGGGAGGCAGAGGTTGTAGTGAGCCGAGATCACGCCATTGCACACCAGCCTGGGTGACTAGTGAAACTCCCATCTCCAAATACATATATATATGTATATATACACCTATAAAATTGCAGATCAACATCAGCAGGTGAACATCTCCAAGCAATGTTGATAGGAAACACTAGCTTCACACCTCCTACAAAAATGAATTCAAAATGTGTCACAGCCCTAAATGTAAAACATAAAACTAAAACACTTTTAAACCGGGCGCAGCAGCTCATGCCTGTAATCCCTGCACTTTGGGAGGGTGAGGCGGTGGTAGGGGCTGAGGCTGGGAGTTTGAGACCAGCCTGACCAACATGGAGAAACCCCGCCTCTACTAAAAATACAAAAGTACCTGGGCATGGTGGAGGTTGCATTGAGCTGAGATCATGCAATTGTGCTCCAGCCTGAGTGACAAAGCAAGACTCTGTTTCTGGGGGGGATAAAGCTTCCTGAAAGACACTTAAGAGAATAAAAAGACAAACTGGACTAGATGAAAATATGTGCAAAATAGACCTCTTGGCACAGCAGCTCTGTAATCTCAGCACTTTGGGAGGCTGAGGCGGGCAGGTCACTTGAGGGCAGGAGTTCAAGACCATCCTGGCCAACTTGATGAAAACCCATCTCTAAAAATACAAAACCCAGACAGGTGTGGTGACACATCCCTGTAATCCCAGCTACTCAGAAGGCTGAGGCAGGAGAATCACTTGAACCTGGGAGGCTGAAGTTGCAGTGAGTTGAGATCATGCCACTGTACTCCAGCCTGGGCAACAGAGCAAGGCAAGACTCTTACCCCATTCCCCCCAAGAAAAAGATCTTGCAAAACAATCAGTCTGAATTGTCATAGGGAACCTAATTTCTGCCTTTTGGCCATAAAATAGGAAGTAAAGCCGGGCGCAGTGGCTCACGCCTGTAAACCCAGCACTTTGGGAGGCCAAGGCGGGTGGATAACGAGGTCAAGAGGTTGAGACCACCCTGACCGACATGGTGAAACCCCATCTCAAATACAATGTAAAAATTAGCTGGGTGTGGTGGTGTGCTTGTAATCCCAGCTACTCAGGACGCTGAGGCAGGAGGATCGCTTGAACCCAGGAGATGGAGATTGCAGTGAGCCAAGATTGTGCCACTGCACTCCAGCCTGGGTGACAGGACCAGACTCCTCAGAAAAAAAAAAAAGAAGGACTCAGGTATAACATGAAATATGCCATTTAAAAATATGCAATAAATAATACTTATTACACATTTGCATATGTAAGATATTATTGTAAACATTTAAAATGTATTAACACATTTCATCAGAACAACTCTATGTAAAACGTATTACTCTTCCCATCTGAAAGATGAGTAAACTGAAGCCCAGGAAGCTTAGGTAGCTTGCCCACAGATTGTATAAGATCACCCAGTTGAACTGACTCAAGACCTTAAGGTTTACTTTCAGCGGGATTAGCATAAATGCTAGATTATTCATGGCCATGAAAAGGAAAAGGGCTGGGTACAGTGGCTCATGCCTGTAATCCCAGCACTTTGAGAGGTTGAGATGAGATGGAAGGATCGTATGAGCCCAGGAGTTTGAGACACCAGTGAGCACTGGAGGGCACCACTGCACTCCACTCTGGATAAGAGAGCACAAAAACAAAATAATTAAACTGTTTGACTAGTTAGTTTACCATAGGTAGGAGTTAATGTCCCATCCCATTGATCCACTTAGGGAATGTTTCACATACCTGTCTACAAATTTCTCCTGTTCCAGTAACCAATCTGTTTTATACTTAAGTAGCTT